CTGGCGAAGGAGGTCTTCAAGATGAGATATCTGCCAGGACAAACGCATCCTGGATGAAATGGAGAACCTTTACAGAGTTCTATGCGACAAGCGAATGTCAGTGCAACTGAAATCCTAAATATACCGTACTGTGATACGTCCCACAGCGCTGTATGCAGTGAATGTTGGCCCAGCACGCGAAATGAAGAACACAAGCTTAGTGTCATGGAGACAAGAATGCTGTGGACATTGGGTATCACCCTGCTAGATCATGTCTGTAATAATACAGTTCGTGCAAGGATGAAAGTTGCTCCCATCGTTAAGAAAATGCAGGAAAAGCGACTGCGATGGTACGGGCATGGGAGTAGAAGAGATGAGAACCACATCACAGGAATGGCCATGTCCCTGGAGGTCGCTGGAAAAAGACCACGGGGAAGACCAAAGATGAGATGGACAGAATCAGAGCTGACCTGAAAGAGCTTAGGATGGACGAACATCATGCCTTAAATCGAGAATACTGGAGACAGTTGATTCGTACAGCAGACCCTGCGTAAGCGGGAAATGCGATGATGAAAAAATATATAAAGTCGAGTGCTTATGTATGAGTACGTTTAGGAAAATGCATGCCAAGAAGAAGGAGCATACGCTTTCTCGATTAGATGTCAACCTTGCAAGAGAATAAAGTGAATTGCGTCTTTACGTTGCTTGAGTGAGAGTAACACGAACAAAATATTTATTTAAATACATAAATAGATAAGTGGTGATGTACGGATATGCGTGGAAATACGCGTTTTAGATGTCAGCTTACTTGCCAGTAGCGTAGCCGCCTCCAGATGAAGTAGGGTAACCACCAGATGCTAAAAATATAGGTTACATTGTATTTGGCTTCATCAATAGATGGCATTTTAATAGTAACTATAAAATCTTACGGGCAGTTGGGTAAGATGGTGGTGGAGCAACTGGGTAAGATGGTGGTGGTGGTGGAGCAACTGGGTAGGATCCACCGGATGAGCCTCCATTGCATCCACCGCTGCTACCTCCTCCGCAAGATGATGTAGGTGGAGGGCAACATGGAGCTGGTGCTGGAGCAGGTGCTGGGCAGCAAACTGGGGCAGGTGCAGGGCAACAAGCTGGAGCGGGAGCTGGGCAACAAGACGCTGCTGGTGCGGGAGCAGGGCTATTAATTTAAAGGGTTATGATTTTCTAGGATTACCCGGAACTGGAATACTTACCAACAACTGCTTGACCCTCCTCCAAGCAAACCAAAACCGAATGCATCAGATGCAGCAAATACGGCAAATGCGATAGTTGCGTACTTGAACATGCTGGAATGTGGGTAAAAATTAGAAAGTGAAGTAAACTTAAACAGGGGAAAATTACATTAAAGGATAGCTATGCCTAAAAAATGCGAAGCAGGTGAATGAGGTGTTTACCTTGAGTGGTTGTTCCTTCGGATGATTTGCACATATGCTCCCAGCTTATATATGCGCTAATCGCGTATTTCGATCCGGAGGAAACTCAGACTATGCGGGTTTTCTTTCATGCCGTCGTGCAAACCTTGTAGAATTGTGTTGGCGGAGGAAAAGCTAAGAAAATTCAGTCACCTAAAACTCTCAGAGAGAGGCAGAGGTCCAACTTCACTTCTTTTCTATTGTGGGTAACTGATTAACGTTCTTCTTTCAAATCATGCTTGGACTGCGTCGTTGCTGTTTAGATCTTAGGAACTTGCGAACAGTACCTGGTTTGACTATTTTTCTTGAACTCGATCTCACTGATTTCTTGCTAATGT